AACTTTTCACAAATCCATGTACATTTTGAAATTATGATTATATTAAAAGTCGTAGATCTTGAAAAGTTATGTGGAATCAAAAAAAATTTCATGACATTCGGATTTTGGAGCATAAAGTTATGGCCGCCCAAAGTTTGACGAAATAAAAAAAAAGCTCGTTCGGGGTGGCAAATGACGTTTTTTCGAGACGAAGGCGGGACCCGAGTGCAAAGTTACGTTCGTTTGAAGTTTCGGCCGAAGTTAGGAGTTGATCGGAAAAAAAAAATTGGACCAAACCGCTGGGTGGGGTGGCGGTTTTGGGCCAAACCGCCACCCCACCCAGCGGTTTAGTCCTTTTTTTTTATAACCGCCCCCTAGGCCTACGGTTTGCATAGAAAAACGCACCCCCGACAAGCGGTTTTCGTGTAAACCGCAGGGTGGGGTGGCGGTTTTTGAAAAATGTGGTATTTTTGGAATTTTTTGGGGTTGGGTGGTATTTTTGGAATTTTTTTTTAAACAGTTGTATTTCTGGAAAAAGTCCCAAATATGGAGCGTTGGTGGATGATGTCTTAGAATAAGCAGCTGATTTATAACTCTACAGAGTTGCCATAAACTAAAGTACGTGAAGGGCGGAAGCCTAGGAAATACATTACCTTAGAGAGCTAACCTTCTGAATATTACCTTAGTCACCCTATACAACTATAGGTAGGCGATGATCACATGTGGCTCTAAGGTCTCTCACAACCAGTTACACATGTGGCGAGGGACGAGTTTTATGGGTTGAAAACACGACCAGAGGTTGAGGTGCCTCTAAGGTTGAAGTTCCCGTTGGTTTTAAAAATCAAAAGGAAAAACAATGCATAAGATGAAAACTATAGCTAATGAGAGTGTAGGAAAGCAAGAGGACAAGGCGTTGCACATGCAAGTGCCCCTAAAATTATTTGGACTCATACGTTGATCCTGGAAACATATGAGTTGTTTGATCTTTTTTAAGTTACTCTTACCATATGTCGTTACTAATGTCAGATCTAGTTGACAATGATATGGACCCTACAAATTTCGCCCTTTAGTAAGTAGACGCAGTCTGATCGATTGATGATCGATCATGGGAAGAACACCTTGTCCATTCCAATCCTACCCACAAAGTTGGGTTTGAGGATATGACCTTTGAAATCAGTCATCGACTTAAGCACACTTCCATTCAACAATAAACTGAACATAAGAACAAAGCAGAAAGAAAAGGAATCAATTTGACCAACCACAGAGCGGACTATGGGGCCCTACTTGCCCCTAGGGTCCAGGATCTGAGGTCTAGTCTCCAACATCCTCAAGTTGCTGCCAAAAACTTTGAGGTGAAGACCTCTATCATTCAAATGTTGAAGGGCTCTGTTGTTTTCAATAGGAAATAGGCGAGTGCCCTCGGGAGCATCTGCGACGCTTCTACGAGCTGATCGATGGGATCAAACTTCATGGAGTACCTCAAGAAGCCATCCGGCTCCGCTACTTCCCTTTCACCCTGGAGGGACTGGTCAAGACGTGGCTGGAGACTCGTGCTCCAGTATCGATCACCACATGGATCGCCATGCCTAACAAGCAGTGTTATTAAAGCCAAGCCGAGCCGCTCGGCCCGAACGGTAAAACTGCCAACCGGTCACAAAGCCGGCTCGAAACAGTCTAAAAGTCGCTCCGGTTTTATGTAGCGGTTGACGAGCGACCGAGGCGGTTAACCGCTCGAGCCGATCGAGCCGCTCGTCCGATTTTTGCAATTCAGCCGTTAAATTTAATTAAAAAATTGCAAAAAATTGACAATTGAAATTAACCTAAAACGTCGGGCTCTCAAACTGAATCATTATTTCCATTTCACAATTTCGAAGGAAAGAGACGAGCTATGATTAAGAAATGTCCACTATTTATACTGATAACGTTTATTAGGTATCGGTTCTCTAACGGTTTCTAAACGGTCTAATGCCGGTTGTACCACTAAAGAGCGAGTCATTCGCATTATCGGGTCATGCTCCGGTTCGGTTCTGACAACATTGCTAACAAGTTTCGGAACTGCTACCATCCCCCATCGAAGACAGCGGATCTGTAGAAGGAAATAACTCATTTCGCATAGGATGAAGATGAAACCCTTTGATATTCATGCGTGAGATACACCACTCTCTTTCCTGAAGTGCCCCAAACACGGTTTCAGCGAATTCTTCAAAGTGAGCAATCTCCATCGGGCTCTCTTTCCCGAAGACCGACAACTGATTGAATCGGCTTGCGACGAGAATATAATGACCAAGATGCCCCCACAATTGAACCAGCTTTTCGAGAATATGGCGGAGCAGGGGTATGACTAGGGGTCTACAAAGAGATCACGACGAGTTCCTGAACATGGTGTGCATGTTGTGGATATTCAGTCATATGCTCTGATGGACGTGGTTTCTAAGTTGGTTACGCCAATCGACTGCAATGGGATTGTTACAGGCACAGGCCAGCCACATGTGATGTACTGCTAGTGGTGCGAGAGCACCAACCACATGGTGGAGGAATGTTAAGGAATGAGGGAGTCTAACTCACCTCAAGAGCAGCTGGATTTCATTAGCAATGCCTAGCGTATAGTCCCTATAGCCAATATAGTCAAAAGCGCGCTTCTACGTAGAAGCGGGTTGGTGATATAGAAGCGTAAATTCGTAAGCTTTTAAGTTTTAAAACACAGTTTTTGACTACATTAGTTATAAAAACTGAGATTATGCGTAGAAGCATTTTGGTGACCTATAAGCGTAAAACCATAAGTTTTTAAGTTTTAAAGCGTGATTTTGATTACATTGCCTATATCAACACCTACAACGAGGGATGGCTCTGCTGCCAGTATCCAAACTTCTCCTGGGGTTGAAACAACAATCCTAAGCCACCACGCTTCTAGGCTCCTGCAGGTAGTTACCAGAATCAGTGACAGCCATACCAGCCGCGCTCGGGATATTCCAGACAGGAGGAGATTTTCCCTCAATAGCAGCTGCGGCAGTTTCAGCATCCTGGTGCATCCCCATCTGCCCAAGCACAGAATGATCATATCTCAAAGCTGCGAGATATAGTGGACACCCTTGCCAGCTCCACCACACAGAAGTTCAGCAAGATAGAGCAGTTCATGGAACTGGCAGCAGGGAAGTTCCTGGAGCTTGAGGCTGTTCAAAGAAACACACAGGCTGCTCTGCAAGACATCCAGACCCAACTCGGGAGTATGGCTAAATCTGTGGCACAAAAGGCCTGGGTACCTTACCTGTTCATACTCTATCTAATCCTCGAGATCCAGATGCCCACTGCAATGTCGTTTCCACCAGGAGCGGAAAGGTGACTGTTGAGATCCCAGCTAGTAAATGAAGAAGAAATGGAGAAGGAGAAAGAGACACCTGCTCCTAAGCCACAACCAGTGGTGAAGGAGTATTTCCCTCAACTCCCCTTCCTACTCGGTTGCATAAAGACCGACTAGAGACTGAGTTAGCCAAATTCATAGCAATGCTAAAGCAGGTGAACATAAGCATGCCTTTCATTGACGCACTATCGAAGATGCCCAAGTATGTGAAGTTCATGAAGGATCTCCTCACTAACAAGAGTAATCTTGTGTAGCTGTCAATAGTGATGCTCAACAAGGAATGTTTTGCCATCCTGCGGAACAAGCAAATAGAGAAGCGGAAAGACCCAGGGAGTTTCACTATTTCTTTCATTATAGGTAACTTGCATGTAGGAAAGTCCTGAAGTGTCTCCATGATACTTATCTAAAAGGTCCCAAAGAGTTTCTGGTTGGCAATTGAGATATCCTACATAATTCTTGCTTGAAACTCTTTTTGGGAAAGCTATGATCCATATGGTCAGGATCGTTCACAGTCACCCAGGTGAAACCTTATGACACCATCGAGATTGTCAATCCACAGATAGAGCACTTCAAGGTGAACGGGCATAGCCTCAAGCTGTAACTAGGAGGCGATGTAGAACATACAGATTTGGTGGTCGATCTTGTGGACCCTTATTTCCGCCATCTGCGTCCAGCTAAAAGACGATAAAGAAGAGCTTGTGGGGAGGCAACCCCACCACGGTTTGAATTTCTTTCTCTTTTTTTCTTTTCGTGTCATTTCTTAGGCATGTTTGTTGTATTGCGAGCCTGTTAATTATCCATGTTGCTATCATTTTCGTCCCTAGTTGGCTCATAGTCTTTCCGGTCATTTTTTCTAAGTTTCAGGAATTCCTCGGTCGCCACGTGATATTTCACGGTCTTGGAATTTCAAGGGGTAGACCGTGGATTTTTTATGATTCCACGACCTAGATGTCAAATCCACGACCATGGATTTTGGAGACTAACCATGGATTTTTGTCTGTAAATGTTAAATCCCGCCCAAAAACCTCATTTTTCCATGGTCACTCTCCCCAACTCTCCCCTCTCTCCTTTGTCTTTCCGCCTAATGCGGCCGTTTTGCCACCATTTCATAGATCCCGCCTCCGTCCGACCTAGGATTCCAAATCCGACTTTGGACCCATTCTTCCCTTGTACGGCTGCCCCTTTCTTCCAATTTCGGGGATTATCAAAGTCGGAAAAAATTTCTGAGGACTTTTCTGGTGACCTCTCTAGCGAGTCATTCCGACCTATTTTCACTGCTTTTTGCCCCTCTTGTCCCGCCCATAGCCGTCTACTTGAGTCTCCAGGTTGGTTTTCACCTCTTTGTTTAGTTGTTTTTGGATAATCGACGGTTAGGTAGAGAACATGTTTTGAGATGCATGATTGTTTGTTTGGGAACCGACTGCCATTATTAGGTTGCCAGAATTGCTATGAACTATGTGTTTGACTTGATTATGTGGGCTCTGGGCCCCAATTTTGATCTGCTATGTAGTTTGCTTTCTGCATAACTTATTTACCAATTCTGCAGCCGACCATAATGCCATGGTTTGTGTGCTTAAGTGTAGGGGAACCTCTTTTTCCCTTATTTGCATTTTTTAACATGGTTTGCATGGTTCCAAATATGGCATGTGTATTTTGCAAGATCATGGCGCTCCGACATAAATATCTGCAGGGACTGTGTCATACCCATGATTATGAAGCGCAGTTCGCTGAAGTCTGGGGTGGGACCATTGAGGAGTATTGGTACTTCAACAACCCTACTCTTCAGTTCAGAGCCTCTACTGCTTTTCTGACATCTACTAGGACACCGCGAACCTCAACGACCTTACGGACATCTATGCTACCACACTCTTTCTACCTCACCTCCGATGTCATTTGGCACCAGGAGCTACTCATGATGGCGGATGGGTACGAATGGGTTGAGGTTTTTCTCTTCCCCCTGCTGAGAGAGACGAGGATGACGTCGATGATGATGATGCCTCTTGGAGGATGAGCTCGACCCAAGGAGCCGCTTTCACCACTAGAGGATCTTAATCCACGACAGAGATTGGATCAAGACGAGTCCTCCTCCGGTCTTTCTATTCCATCAATGGAGTTCTCCACCGACAATTCCAGCAGTTGGCCGAGAAGTATTGGGCTCAATAGGCATGGTATACTAGTCGCATGAATTAGTTTGACTCTCGTCCTAAATCGCCTTAAGACCAAGAAGGGCATGCTCCGTGCTCATCTTGAGCGTGAGCGAGACAAGAGTCACCATATGATCGAGGTTCAACACTTTTTGATTCAGTAGGCCCTCGATGAGCCCCCAGAGTGGTAGAACCTCCATCGCAGGGGGATGACGCCTTCATGGATAACATTGACTTTGACGTTATCGAGTAGGCTGTAATCGCAGGCTCCTCTATGTTTTTTTTTTGTGTTTTATTCTGTGTATGTCAGGAGTGTGAACTAGATTGTTTGTGTTTTTATTTACCTTTGGTTTGTGCCCATTTGGGTGATGACCATTCCTAACATTCTACGATCTATTGGTTGTTTCTGTTGAGCACTTCATGCAGCGACTAGTCCATCTTTCGGTCCGCCTCGTTGATTGGTCCACTCTCTAGTCTGGCTTCAGTCATTTCTCTTGGTAACATCGTTCCCCTTATATTTTCCTCTTCTCCATTGAGGTCAATGTTGATCTTAAGTGTGGGAGTGTTTCTCTTTGTCTTCATAGTTATGTTTATATGCTTAGAACCTAGTCCACAATCCAAATCATGATATTTGAGGGCTCCAAGTACAGATATCTGTATGATCATATTGGCTATGTGAACTCTAGCATTTAGAGTTCCGTCATGGTGAAGAGATGATATGGTTTGAGAGTGTGAGTATGCACATATTTTGCATCAAATTTTGTCCTCACCCCACTGGTTGTAAGTTAGTTATTCATTTTTTCATATTACTTATCCCGGTGAGGACCTAGATTGCTTAGTCTTGATTACTATGCATGAGTGACTGTTTTGAATGAGTCGTTGAGTCGAGTCTATGTTGGTCGGTTGACAGAGGGGAGGCTCTTCCTCTACCTAATTTCACTGCACTCAAATGTCATATGTGGTGTTTGTCCAGGTTGTTGTTGTTGTTGTTGCTCATGTGTTGATGTCTAGTAGCTAGTACGATTCACGTGTTTTTGTGACTCTAAGATGCGTCCCAGAAGCTTGCATGGTTAAAATGTTTTGAGCTTACCTTGTGTCTGACTTGGTTTGCTTGGGGACAAGCAAACAGTTAAGTGCGGGAGGATTTGATAACACCGTATTTACACATATTTTCCCAAAATTTCTTGATCATTTGGCTTAGAATTTGATTGCTTTGTGTCCCATTACATGAATGGAGACTTAGGAGCGAGATTGGGTGAAACTGGAGAACAGACGGAATTCAGAGGACAAATAAGCAAAATCCACGGTTTGGGGAGCCAAATCCACGACCGTGGAATCACGGTTCCGAACGTGGTTTTTGAGCAAGATATTCCCCGGTTTGGTGTCCTCATTCCACGATCGGGGGTTCCAAGCCCATGACCGTGGATTTCCACCGAGACCACTAAGTTCCACGCACCATTTTGGAATTCCACGGTTAGAACCCAATTCCATGAGCCTACTAAGCTGAAACTCAGGATTTTTGCCATCTATTTGGTTTTCCAAGTTATGAAACAACAAGAGAGAGCCCTAGAGAGAGAAAGTGACGAAGAAAAACCTTGGGAAGGGATTGGAGAGATCTAAGGACATTGGATCTCGATCTTTCACCCTTGGAGTACCAATTTACAGCCTAAAGCAGAATCTCATCCTTCACATGATGTTTTCTCCTTCAAGCCTTGTGTTTTCTCTACTCTCCATGGAGTAAACTCTCTTCTCATCTGGGCATGAAGAACCCTAGTCTTGTATGTTAGGAATTATTTTATGAACCCGATTTCGTGGATGATTGACTTGATATATTCAATTGAGGGATTATTCAGAATTGCAGGACTCTTGATCAAATTCCTGTGAAACCTGCTTTAACCTAGAACGATAGTCTCTGTATAGGTTAAAATAACAACCTTAATTGGAAGTAGAGAATCGATTTATTTAGTCAAGGAATCGATTCACTACTCTATAGTGGAATTGAAAACCAGTAGTGGAAGTTTGGTGTGTCAGTACCTCGGTCAGCTTACTTTGGTGGTGGTTAGTCGCCCGCCGGGTATTCGAACTGAGAGGGTCTGAAATTTCTTAGTCAAGATTCCAGACTTGTAAAGAACTTTCCGTAATATATCTGTCAATTGAAATGAAATTGTGAACTTACAATCTAAACTAACTGTAGACTAGGGGGACACATACCTGGGTGATCTTTCTCATACTTGAAACCAGAACATTTACTACTTTCTATTTACTTTGCTTTTGAAAATTTCTCTAAAATTCCATGGCTATATAATATATTTGAATGGAGTAACCAGTAGACCTAGGACTCGGGTTGACATTTAGAACCTGAATCATATACTGCATTTCTAGACCACTATTACACTCGGTCGTAGTTTGGTTGTGTTGGTTTAGTGAGTCACAAATCATATATATATGCCAAACCATGGGGATAAGATCCAAGGGATACATTAGTCGAAACAAGAATCTCAATCAGTCCTCCAAATCGGCGCCCATAAAAGAGATTTTAAGGACTAGGTTGCCGATTTACCTATGGTAACTAGTTTTACTCTAAGTCTGCTGAGTCACTCTGTCGGCAGAGTAACGACCCTCTAATGCCTCCTATCACTGACTATTGAACTCCTTCCCCTAGAAGCCTACTTATAAACTTTCTATTAGGGTATGGGGGAGATAGGACAATCATTTAATGCGTCTACGATTCCCAAACAAACTCCTCCAGCTCAGGTACCACGAAAAGCATATAGCATAATTAGCATTACAATAACATGAGTATACTAAACAAATTCATCTAAATTCATCTAACTAACATCAATCATACCATAATTAATCGAAATATCGCCAACATAATATATTTGCCACTAACCGCAATTCATAAATACAAACATATAATGATTAAAACATCGATATCTAAACAATACATAATTATATCATACCACAAAATTTTGAGTTTCTATATCAGTAGATTGCTGGAAGCTGGCAAAGAGGGAGGAGATTCTGTGAAAATTTGAGTGGAATATGGCAGTTTTTTAGGCAGGTACGTGGGGGGATCAGTTATTTATATGCAAACAATCACCGCAAGAGTACATTGAGTGAAGCGTTCACCGCAGTAGACAATTGCGGTGAATGCTAGGTCGTTGTGACCTACTTTTCCACTACTGGGTTGGAAAACGTGGTAAAATTCACCGTTTTTCAGTAAAGCAATGATACGTTCACCGCAATGGGCAGTTGCGTTGAATAGGTTCATTGTCTTCTTCCAACGCAATGAATGGTTCACTGTTTTCATGTACTGGGATGATTACTTCACTGTTTTAGATGAAAACGGTGACATGTTTACTGTTGCAATCTATTGCGGTGATTGTATTCACTGTCATGATCTATTGCGGTGATGTACAAACATACATAGTTTGGGAATTATTTTTATAACGTATTTTGAGAATTTTTTTTAAAAACTATTACATTCTGAGATTTTTTCCTTGAATTTTAATGAGTTTGAAGAGCTGAGATCAACTTAGCCAAGTGATTAAGAGACACTTTAATCACCCGATCTTAACCCGTAACATAGGATGCTTGTGGTTCTTTTTGACTTTTTTTTAAAGTTTTGTACTCAACCTCTCGATGAGAGCTGAGAGTTGAGGCAGCGCAGTGGCACTTGCAGGAGGTGGAGGATCGCTTCTTTCTCTTCCATTTCAAAATAACACCAACTCCTCCAGAGTAATCAGGTAAGTTTGGTGATTTGGCATTTTTAAAATCCCATCTTAAATTTCCCATGAAGATCCCAAACTACAAACCATCGGATTCCCTGCTGAACCTTTTCATTATTAAATTTTCTGTTAATTAATATCATATTTTGGTTCCCCTTCCCCTGAATTTAATCATTCTTCTGGGACTCTTCTTCTGAACTGCTCTACGCAACCTCTCGGCCGTGTCTCCACAATTGACCAGCCCTACCATCCATCCATCTTCTCTCTCAGTCTTACGCTACGAGTTCATTCACCTTCTGGTTTTCCCCCTACTCCTTTGATCTTCCCTTCCTTGACTACAGTTGAAGAGGAGGATATTTGGTTGATCGGTGTTCTCTCCTCCACTTGGAATTCCGCTCAATTAATGGCAGCTCTGTCTCGAGGTTGGTTTCCAATTTCTTTCAGTCCTTAGCTCATTGCATCAGCAACATATCTTCCCTCATATGCATATATCCCTTTTGGTGGGTTTGTCCAGGAAATTGAAAATTTGAAATTTGCCTTTCTCCCGTAAGTAATTTGTCTTCCTGTTTAGGGCTTATGCGCTTCATACCTGTCCACCGCCAGCTACGGTTCTCCTACTAGGAACGATTTAGGAGAAGAGGAGACCATTTTCATAAATATACAAAAAATTCGACTGCTGGGACGCCTGGTTCCTACTGGGATCATGATTTGTTTATTGCTTTCTAGCTGCTAAAGATTGCAACAAATATAGCAGCTGCTGCTGCTTGCTGCCTTGTTGCATATCAACCACCATGGATTTACACGGCATGGCTCCTCATTCTGAATCGGGAAAGCTGGAACAGGTGGTCTCACAGTTCCTTTTGAAGAGCTTGCACATTATACTGGACTCTCGGATCCCATCTCTTCATCCCCGTGACCCGACATGTGATTCACGGGTCAGGAAGAGTGACAAATGGTTCAATCTGGTACTTGGGGATCGCCCAGCTGCACTGGATAACTTGAACTTCTGGCATAGGAATTTGATGGATCCAATGATCATTGACATTATACTTGTTCAGCAAGGGACAGCAATTTCTACATCTGTGGGCAATTTGCTTTCTGGTTCACCTGGACGGACAGCTACAGAAACGGTCATAGAGAGGTGGCTCGTCCAGTTTGAGTCACCCCCCAGGGGTACTGCTTCTCAACCCAGTGAGGGTTCTGCTGCCTCTTACAAGAAGACATATAAGAAGTCAATCATATTCTTACGTTCCCTATACTTGCAAACGAGGCTTCTTCCAGCATACCGAATCTTTAAACAGCTTAGCTCATCTAGCCAACCTTTTAACTTCGATATCATTTACAAGGTTTCATCTTTCTCCGAACCATTCTCTAGGGTGGAGGAGGAAATGATGAAGGAATATCGGTTTGTTCCTATTGAAGCCCTTCCTGGCAGGCTACATGTATCAGTGACTTACCGCCCACAACTTTCTGAGTTTAACCTTCAGCCTTTGACCACCATGCCTCCCAAAATCATATCCGATTATGTTGGTAGCCCTGCAACCGACCCTCTTAGATACTTTCCCTCTTCATACAAAGGAGATCGTGCCATATCTTTCCCATCTAAAGTAATGCACAGCCCTACTTCTGTACCTTTTCAACGGCCGCATAGCTGGACAAGTGGTTTCCATAAACCGGTTGTCAACCATCATCTTGCAGGGTCACCAACAGTGTACCGCACATCCCAAATGTCATATGATTCACCATCCCCACCAATGGAAAGGATGCAAAACCATAGACGACCATTGCATCAAAGGGCTCCCTTCTATGATGAATGCCAGCTTTCTCCTCCCTTTTCACCATCTGTCTCCCCTTCTACTCCAACTTACTTAAGAAACAGTGAAAGTCCTAGGCAAACTCGTGCTATTTCTGAAACTGCACCTGTGACTATTCCATCCCCGATATCAGGCAGAAGTTCTAGATACATCTCTCCCAACTTTTCTGATCCGAGTAAACTTTCCCTTCCTCCTTTATCTCCTAGAAGCACACGGCTTGATAATTCATCAAATGAATCGCCATCTGGGATGAGGTTAATTAAGAAACCAGAAGCTTCAAGGGCCGATTTGGGCTCTGCTGGTCAGAAGGTAACCTTTGTTTTTGTTGTGCCTCTTTCTGATATCTTGATTGTAATATACTCGGTCAGTTTCTTTCTGTTGTTATTGATTAGGTTGATTCTATAATTTTAGGTGCTCAAAGATAACAAAGATGATTCAGGACGGTTTTCTGGACTATTATCTTCCAGCGACTCTCCACGTGTTGGATTTTCTAGGAGTTCTAGTAAATTGTCCTTCCAAGATGATATAGATGATTGTGACTTTTCATGTCCTTTTGATGTAGATGATGTTGACCCACCAGACTCCCGAATCAGGTACTTCAGAAGTTCTGTTTAATAGCTATTTCTCATTTGTGGCATGACAATGTTTGCATGAAAATATTTGATTATCATGAAAAAAATTGTACCAATCTGTTGTCTAAATATCTACCTTTATTATCCATACAAGGGGTCCCTTTGGATGTGGATCCACTGAAGATACTTGAGAAGTTGGAGATCACTAAGCTATTTGTGCTTTTGCAGAATTCTGTACTTTACTGGTCCCTCTTAAGCCTGTTCTGAATCATATATAGGCCTGAAGCTATTGAAACTCTCGCCATTTTTACCTGTTGAATGATGGTGAAATTGGTTACAAGCGAACATTGTCGATGATGGACTGTACTAGGACAGGAAACACAAATTATCAAAATCCTAATATGTGCATTGAGGTGGACCAAATGATTGACGTGTGGAAACTAATCCAGTATGTTAGGGAATCTTTGATGAATTGTAGAAGTTGGACAATTTTTCTTATCCTTTTATTGTTGATGGATAAGAGAATCCTAAGAGTCTGAAGCTTTGCTTCCAAGTTTTGGGATGACATTCATGCAGCTGCCATCGATTCTTTTGAGTTGCTTTAGCAACTTAGCTTTTTGACTTGAGAATTACCATCGAGAGCAAACTTAAATCTGGATTAAGCACTAGCATCGCTGTCCAACAATTGATGTTTCTGTTTGAAGTCTTGGAGATCATGTTCCTTCTAAGTAGTTTATTCAGCTTTGCTCAGTATGCCCTTTTTGGCTGTTTCAGTCAGAACGTTGACTGGAAGAGAAACTTGGAATCAACGTCGATGGGTAGGAAATCACAAGATGCAGCAGTTGGTGTCCTTGTTCACATGTTGAGGACTGCACCTCCACTGCGCCAAGATTCCAGCTGTTACTCGTCCCGTTCCTTGAGAGCTGAAGTAGAGAATGATGGGGTTGCTACTACAGCTTCTGGGTTCTTTATGCCTCGAAGAACGTCTGATGCCTTAGAAGAGCTGAGGAGTTACAGGGAGATGAAGGACCTGTTACTGTCTAAGAGTGGAACTCGGGTGCTAACCAGAGAACCACCATGAGAAATTGTACTGATTCCGGTTCATATAAATTATTGACTCGCGTGTGGCAAGCTGCCTGTGGTTCTACGGGCAATGCCATTCTTTTCAGTTATTCGGACCTTGCCCCTTGAAACCATTGATAATTTGCAACAGTGAAAGCAAATATATTAAAAGTATAACTGCATAAAACAACTTGCACTGTGCATCTAAACTGCTTTATACTGCTCATTTAGACCTAATTTTCATGTTCACTGGGTTCCGATTGGTTGTTGCTCTGGTTGTTCAGTGGATTCTGATATAGATGCTCAGCCCCCTTCGAGCTGTTGATGCGATCTCCGGTTGCCATCTTTTAGTTTCGTTACTTTTGTTTGGTGTGGTCACAGTGATCTTTGCGTTGGTCGCAGAGTATCTTTGAGTTTCTTTGTCAGACCAGATTTTGCTTTGTTGGTTTCGCTGGATAGATCGAGAGAGGAAGGGACGATTGTTGATGGAGACAAATCTTTGCTTTATTACATTCACTGTAGAAAATGGGAGAGGAAGGAAGGTCTGTTGATGGAGACAAGTCATTGCCCTATTCCTTACACTGCAAAGAGTTTGGGAGTCGGGAGAAGAAGTGCATACTCACTCCTTAGAGAGTGGCTGAGGGAGAAAGGAAGCCAGGTAGTTCTTATATTTGAGGCAGTTCATTTAACCTACCCGCGTTGCCACTGTACACATTTCTACTCTCTTTCTGTTGATTTTCATTTTTTAGGATTGGATTGAGAGAGTAGAGAAACCATCTTACAATCCCTCTTTTCCCTCTCTTTCTCTCTCACTTTCCTATATGTGCTGGGTTTCTCTCATCATGGTTTGGGAGATGAGCCGATCTCAAAGCGATCATGTGCGAGTTTGAGAAGATGAGAGAGAGAGAATTCAAGGAATGCCCAGATGCACAGGTTAATTATGGTTTCTTCCATCTCTATATCGATCATGAATTTGTTCTTTTTTTCATGGGTTCGTTCATAGTAAGGATTTATTTTGATTACTTTTCCGTTCCGTTGAGATTTCGCACAATGAGGCAAACGGTGAGGAGTTGATTGATCTGATGTTGTTAAGGATGGTGTGGGTAACAACAGGGGTTTGGAGTTCCAGAAAGAGTCGTTGGAATTCCGGTGAGGTTTGCTTCTTAATCCCCTTTTGTGTTTCTTGCATATATATTTTTGTCGAATCCTCCCCTTAAATAACATTCATGTTTTTGTCTCTTGCAGATGATAATCTGATAGATTATCTGAATCGATGACTTCCATGGTAACCATGATCTCTCAACCCTCTCTAGTCGGCAATCTCCATCCGATGGAGATTCTCTTTTCTCAACCTCCATGCATATCAGATTTTCTATTTTTATTTGTCGATTTTCTCTGATTTGAGCTTTTCGTATGCCGTTGATCTAGGCTATGAAGCCATCGGCGTCAAGTTATCAAACTTCCCAAAGTTGTAAACAGAGGATTCAGTTTAAGACCCTAATCTACAGGTTGTCGATCTGGTTTCATGTAATTGTTTATTCTCTCCCTACATCTTTCTCTCTCGCCAGATTGAAAATGAAGGTTCAAAGATTTGTGTGTGTGTGTTTTTTTTTCTATCGGCCACTCAGAAAAGAGTGGAACTCTAGGTTGCTCAATGGATTTGAAAGGTACAGAGAGTGTTCACAGAAGTGCAAATCCAAAGACAACTTGAGCTCATTTGAGGTAATTGTTCTTCTAGCCGAGTTTGTTTTTTCAGTTACCTTACTTGGCATTCTTCTCTTCCTTTCGTTCATCTTATAGATCATTTTTGTTCTTTTCGTGGGAGCAGTCGAGGATTTTCCTGCATCTTTGACGGTTCAAATTAATCGAGGAGTCGATTCATTGCCTCTGAACTCAACCTGTCAGTTAGGGTCGGGAAAGTAGACCAGACCGTTTGAAAAACCATGGTCTAAACTGGACCACACATTTCGGTACGGAATGTAGACCGTTAAGTATGGTCTGGTCTGGTCTGATACATTGTCTGTATTATATGATGTTTTGATTTATTGATCTGGTCTGTCTAAACCGCGGTTTAACAGACCAAACCGTGGACCCAGCAAACTTCTCAATATGTGTTAGCAACCCACTAGACCACTCTCTCAACTCCCACAACGATACCCAAGTCTCAATCTTAATTTTGAGAATCTCGTCCCCCTCCTTCATTCACAACCACATTTCACTAGAGAGTAGAAATGATCATGTCTCCATATGACATTATGTAAATGTTTATGACGTTATAGTGCAAGTTGGGATGTTTTGACTTTCTATATTTATTATTTACTGAGTTTATGGTGTCAAAATTATCCATGCATGTAGAAATTTAAGTTTTAAGGAAATAAAATGGTTCAATTTTTTGTGTGGTTGACTAATTAAATTGTTCATTTTTCGTTCATTGTGTTCTATCTAGACCAATCCGGACCAGACCAGACCGTACAGGCGTGGTCTGATTCAGACCATATAGTCTGTGGTCTGGTCTGTGGTTTATACTCTAACCTTTCGGTCTGAACCATAGACCGCATATATGATCCGGTCTAGACCAAACCACACCGTTTCCCAGCCCCTACTGTTAGTCGTTATGTTTCCTTATCTTCCTTATTTGGTCAATCTCTCTCCCATGAGAGTTGCTTTCTGTTTTCAGTATTTCTTTGGTTGGTTGTAGGTTCCAAGTCGTCATCCATACCTCAAGAATTATATATGTAATCATTTCTTTTTCCCCTCTTGCTACTCATCTTTTTGTGTTGTATTCAAACCTTACAGTTGCAGACTTGAAGTTTGTTTTCCCCCAATTTTCGACTCTGATTACTACTGTCGAGAGCAAAAACAAGCTATGTTTTTTACCATTGCGTGACTAAAACATGGGTCAGCAATATAACTGTAGTTGGTTGCAGAATTATCAAGCCAGTAGCAGGCATTTGAATTTTTTTATGGTTAGGTCTTCGAAGTTGGCAAAGACTATTTCGAAAGGTTTTGAATCCCTTTCACATGGATTTTCCTTCTTTTTCATAGTATCCCATCTTTATGTATGTTGATGTATGACGTCTACTTATGACGTCCACAAATTGTAATATATATTAAGTTCAGTTTATGCATTGGATTGGCAAGCATGTATATCAAAGAATATGTGATGTTCAATTCCACATTTCAGCTTATAATAAATTTCTTAACTTTTACACGAATGAAATATCCAACGACAAGATTGTAAATATAGATGCCTTGCTTTTTTACTACAAGAAAATTTGGATTTAATTAGTAAAGTAATTATAATCAAAGTTAAGATTACATATACATTAATGGAATTTTTTTCTAAGATACCACAAATCCCGTAGCGGAGTGCGGGAAAGAATACTATTATCTTTTAAAGAAGGAAGGAAATCCCTCAAAAAAAAAAAGGAATGAAGGAAAGAAAGAATTAAATGCAACATCCAAACTATTATAAAGTGTTATTTATATCCTAAAGTTTTCCGTTGGCAATCGTGAAATCAACTTTAATTTATTAACATTGAGACTTGAGTGTTAGTGGTCAATAACAATGAGTTAATAATTGATGTGTTAACTAATTTTAATTATTTTAACATTAATTAAAAATAATAACAAAACTTAAAAAACCTATTGCAACTCCAATTCCTATAAAATCTCGGCAACGACTGCCGCGATTCCTTATTTTTGCAGCTTCGATGTGAGACTGGAAGGAGATCTACATGATGAGGTAAAGCTTTATCGAGCCCACAACAACTTCCCCCTCGGTGTCGCATTCCCTTCCGAAGACCTCAACTATAGCCAACACATATATGCAGATCCAGAAGCTACGATTTTCACTGTCACCGAAGATCTCAACTTTAAGAGGTCGTCTATTTACTCTTAAAAATTATATCGTACCATAATGATGAGTGACAAGGTAATTAATGCTCTTATAAGGCCATATAAGAATTAATGTTATTTAAGTTGGGCCACATGGGTCTTAATTTTTAACCTCAAGCAGCTAAGTCCTTCGCAAGCATGGGTATGAGTCAAAAGTGATATGGCCCTCTCGTAAGAGGTCATGTCATGCCACGAGAATAATAAGACATGGTCCTCAAAACACATATCAAAGAAGCAAAAATTACTAAGTCCTTGAGAGGGCCATGTAGTCATGAGGAGACGACCACGTGGCCTCGACAAGATGACTTTGTGATCATGGTGAGGCAACCACGTGGTCGCGAGGACAATACTACGCTCTTGCAACAAGATGATAACGAGGCTGCGACGAGACCACCATATGGTCGTGAAGGGATGCAAAGACCAAGGACTCCATGGAATAGTAGGTCATGTCATGAGATCAATCCTCGTTTCCACTAGGTTATATGTAAATATCCTAAGTTCTGAGAAGTCATATGCTCCCATGGGATCATGCCTCATAACCGTGTTGTCGCGAGGAGGCGAGACCACCACGCGGCCACGACAAGGCAACCACGTGGTAGCGAGGAGACAATCACACAGTCGTGAAGAGATGACCACGTGGTCGAGGAGGCGGCCATGTGATCTTGATGACGCGAGACGTCCAGATGTCCTTGATGATCTTGATGAGGCAAGCAGCCATAATAATATAGTTGGAGCTCACACTGAACCTACTTAGGAGTAACAGTAATTTATTGTAGTTGTGTATCCAAAAAAAAACATCAATCAAACACCCTTGTTTGAACTATGTTCAAAGAGGTATGAAATGTGTCTTGGAGATCGTTGTCCAAAGAAGTCAAGGCACAATTAATTTAGTTCAACGCAAGTTTTCCACTAAAAACCAAATTGGCACATTTGTTGGGACCTTGTGTTTGATTTTATGGCTCTAAGATAGAGGTAAGAAGAAGGTGATCTCTGGGTTTGTGATAAAGCAAGTGACTAAGTTTGGACTTGGCCAATACACATAGATTGTTTTCCAGAAACAATGGCATGATTAATTAGAATCGCAGTACAGTATTTCATTGAAATATCTTGTACGAAACTGTTAACTTAACTTCATTTTACACTTTTGTTCTCTTAATTTAATTGAAGTTCATTTATTTGAAGCCTGGGCCAGACTTCTGAGTTTCATTGAGATTGAATCGACCTTTCCTCTTTCTCTTTTCTAATGTTTTCTAATAAAAAAAATGAGTGGTAGATGTTTAATTGTATCTCTAATCTTCTTCACCTCTAGGCATTAATACCTAAAATTAAAAAAGGGAAATGTCAGCGCATCCGGGAAAAAATGATTAATTTCTATCAATAGGCCTGCTAAAGACCCAAACCATAAAATACTTATTACTGGTGCCACGGATAAATATGTTTTTAGATCTCGCATTTCAAAAATCCCCCCTTTTCTTTCTTCTTTAGCGTCGATTGTTAGGGTTATTTCGTCTTCCTTAGCCGAGAGAATGACTCGCTTTTGCACTACTATCCCAACTGAAGGCCAAGTGTAACCATCGATCGGGTGTTCTATAGCAGAAGTAAGCTTTAATTATCAACCCGGGTGACAAATCTGCTATTACTTCATGGACTATTTGTTATCTAGAAAATCGAAGTTTGACTTTTACTTACTACTAACTTGCAAAGTAAGGAAGGATTGGTTGAAATCTATTGAGAGAAAATAGCTCTAGTGTGCTTTCCCCTAGCCACAAATTATATCCATATTGAAGATCCTAGCTTGCCCGCTCGAGATTTATATCGCAGAGAGTCCTAAACCAGCTTGAACTCCCTATTGGAGTGATCCAAGCTCACATATGATGGACCATTCGGAAGGAGTTTCCACATCTGGCAATATGGAACACCTAGGGCATGAAATTTAGATCCCCACTAAAGGAGAATGATCCAATACGACATTGTAGTCCAATATCATGCTCGATCAATTGACCCACAATGAAGAATTAATAAAATTTCTCTAATAAACCTAATTAGATATTCTCTACCTAAAGTTAATATATAAAACTGGAGAGTTTAATCAATACCCAAACTGATTCCATGAAATACCTCAATTCAATATATAATCAGGTGTGCAAACAAGCATTAAAACATACATAGTTGGACTTCTACACACCCAAGTGAATATGCAAATCTTCACTCCTCTCTTTCTTCTTCTTCAAATTTTAGTTGTGCACCTTTCATTTTTTGTGTTTTTGAGATTAACGTTAATTCGTAAGTTTGTTTTGTATTACTTTTTATTGTGTTTTGTGATTTTTATGGTAATAACTTAATTACAGTTTTATTGCAGATGGCATCCCAAAAGTTCACGCTTGAGTTACAGTGGAATGGTTACACGAAAGAGACCGGAAAGGGGGTACGTTATGTCAGTGGCAATTTTTATAAAATGAAGATCGCTACGAGACTGATGCTTGAAAAGATCCATCAAATGTGTACTAAGGTTATCCGCATGGATAGCACAAGAAGAGTTGATCGTATGGTGTATTGATATCCAAACAGACATGGTGGATCATTGTGGAATGAGGAATTCCTCATTACCACTAAAGAGGACGTCGATGCCAAGGTCCAATTTTTGACCACCAATAACATTAAACAAGCGGAGATGTTCGTTTACACCGAGGCAATCGAAAGCGGTGGAGGTCATTCTGAAGATGGCCAAACATCTGGTATCCACGGTGGGGGTGGATTATAGGAAGATCATCCCACCAGGAGTACCAAGACCCTCATTCATACCAAGAGTATCATGATGGAAATGGAGGACATCATCAATCCTTCCCATCATTTGAAGAAGAAGCCCAATAGTACCATGGCAACCAATAAGAAGGCTACCAATACCAACCCGAGTACAACTTCCACCAAGGTGGCGGTAGTTACCACAACTACCATTATGGAGCTGATGAAAGTGCCTTTCATGATCTTGATCAGATGGAAGAGGCCCTCCTAAATCCAGTTAGTGACCCTGAGGATGAAAAAGAGGAAGGCGATGTCACTACAGACAGCTTCGATCCTCTTGAAGGTGCTGATGATTCTGGCCCAGATTCAGACGCAGAAGGTGATGAGGTACCTCACGACCGTGTACCTATCCCGTACTACAATCACATTCCAAATAAATATTGGTATGTTGATGCCGACATGGAGCCGTGATGACTCGGTATTTGCACATGTTTTCCCCTGTGTTTCTTGATTGTTTGAGCTTGAATTATTGCGTCTTTGTCCTATTTTATGCTAGGTTGTGTTCCTTTGTCACATTTCAGGTCCTAGCACATAAAGTGAAGCATAGGCGCAAGTTTCAAATCAATCAGAGATCAATTGACGATTCGGGAGAAGAAACTCGGGCATGACCTGAAGAAGAATGGATTTCTACCTCACTTTATGGACAAATAATCATGCAAGCTTGTCATTAAAAGAAAGAGGACGAGACTACGAGCGTCTGGGATCAAACGGGGACTGATTCGGAGTCCGGACGAGGGAGAAACGAAGCATTAAACAGAGGCTGAGCAAGCCACACGGGCATCCTGGAACTCCACACGGCCGTGTGGTTCGTGGCCGTGTGGAAATCACCGAGCCTTCACACGGGAAGCTGGGAAAGCCACACGGCCGTGTGGCCTGGCCGCGTGATAGGGAATTTCTGTTTAAAACTCGATTTTCAGCCAAAAGAAAGGGGAGAGCTGGGTTTTTGGTTCCCAAACACCCAAGGGACGAACCCTAGAGAGAGAGGGTGACTTGGTAACATTCTTGGAGCTATTTTGGAGGATTTCTTCGCCATTGGAGCTCGGGAATCAAGCTTGGAGATGGAGATTGAAGATCTAGATCAGATTTCTGCAGTCTCTCTCTTCTCTATGGAGTAACTTCCCTTCACTTAGGTTTTGAGGAACCCTAGTTCCATGTGTTAGGATCTTTCTTGTATGAAGTTTTGGATGCTATATTGTTTGATTATAATCGATTGAGGCATGATTTATTGAGTCAATTGAATCTTGAGCAAATTCTCTTGATTTCTGCTTTAACCTATGATAGATAGAATCTGATTAGGTTAAGAGAGCTTCCTTGATTGATGGTGGTGAATTGGTTATACGAGAGTTAGTCAATCTACTGCTTTGTACTGGAATCCAATTCCGGTAGTGGAGTTCTGTGTTCATAGCCTCAGCTTTCTATCCAGGTGAAGGTTAGTCGCCTGCCGGGTAGTTGGACTGAGAGGGCTTGGTCATCTTAAGAGATTCCAAGCTACTGTCGGATCTTCCGCAGTTTAATCAACAGTAGATCAACCAAAGGTAATTGCAACTTGGACCTAATTGAGGAGCTAGGCGGAATCATACCTAAGTGAGTTCACAACTTGTAATTAGTAGAGTAGTCAGTAGAGTATTTTATAAATCAATCCTTAATCTAGTTTGCTAGATAATGAACTGAAGCTGAGTAATAGTAACTCTAGAGACCCGTGGATTCGATATTTATTACTTGTGCCACTATACTGCAGTCCCTTTCATTGGTTACACTTGGCCATTGTTAGGTGTTGTGTTTTAGCGTGTCAAGCCGTCAGAGGTGCCAATATGGGGTCCACTCACTGGCTTTATGAATGGCCAACAATTTGCCACGAAGAATGAGGTGCGGCACGCTATTGCCAATAAAGCAATGATTTGGAGTTTTGAATGGCGCACAACTCATTCCGACACGAAGAGGCTCGTGGTTAGATTCCAAAATCAACACGAGGGATGCAAGGCTATGGTTCGGACCATCAAGGGCAAGAGAGTCGGCCATTGGGTCATTTTCCGCGCGGTGAACACTCACACATGTGTGTCATCCATAACATCCCAATGTCATAAACAGTTGAAATCCAGGGTGGTTGTCGCTGCTATCAAGCATCTAATTAAGGAACAACCCGATCTGAAGGTTAAAACCATCATCGCCGACATTTCTAGCCGTTATGGATATATTATTAACTACAAGAAGGCGTGAAATGGAAAGAGGAAAGCAATGGCCACCGTGTTTGGTAACTGGGAAGAATCATATGCATTCCTTCCCCTATTTTTTTGACATTGGAGGGGTCTAACCCTGGCACCGCTCCCCCCCCCCCCCCCCCCGGCCGCTACCAAGATGAAGAAATTCAGCCGTCGGAGCCCGGTAACAAACGCCACTTCAAGTGCTTTTCTGGTCATTCAAGTCATCTATTGATGGTTTTCCATTCTGTGTTCTTGTGATTCATGTGGATGGAACATTCCTTACCAACAAGTATAAGGGTACTCTACTGATCGCCAGCGGAGCAGATGCAAATAGATGTGTCTTTCCATTAGTCTTTGCCATTGTTGAGGGAGAGAATACCGACAACTATGGATGGTTCTTTAGACAAATTCAACTCCACATCACCAGGAGGACGAACCTAACAATCATCTCTGATCGCCACGTCGAGATCAGGGTTGGCAGCTTAGGCTCGGGTCCAGCCTAGAAGTGGTCACAGAGATGGTGCATACGACACTTCAAGAGCAATTGGAATCATCATTTCAAGAGGAGGAAGCTTGCTGATAGTCTATGGTGGACCAGTAAGCGTTCTATTTCATTGGTGTAATAATTTTGTTAACTGGGAAAAAGATACTTTGAAATACAATACAATACTTATTTAGACTCCTTATTAAGAGATGCATGCCTAAGAAAATGGGGTCTTAAGCAATCAGCATAATCCCCCCCATTTCCTGAGAAAATCGGGTTCTAAGTGATCCTCGAATCCCCCCCTTCTGTCAATTGTACTATAAAATACTGAATTAGTAAAAAATGTGAGAGATATGAGTGGGATCGAAGATGTTTACCTACAACCGTAAGCTTCTTGTTGTAGGGGATGGTTGGGTCCCCACTCCTTGTCGGGGTCTTCCTTCAGCGCAATCCATGGAAGATGCACCCAAGCCCAAAATTGGACGATGAACATGGCCCCATCAATCTCCTTCACCGCTCTCGAACTTGCATTACAGAGGGAGCGGTAGATATGAGCTAGGCAAACATATGCCCAGCTCAGGTTCCACATATCATCCCAATCACCAAAGATGATCTTCAACCAAGCATTGTTGATTAAATTTTTGGATTTTTTTGGGAAGAGAACTCCTCCGATCATGCCGAGGATGTAGACACGTGCATAAATTTATTTATCACGCTCCGAATTTTCCTCCGTGAGGGGAAGGCCTCCTACATCAGGCTTGTGCTTACGCCTGATCTCCGCTGTCAACCAAGTGATGGATACTGGGCCCTTGGACAATGGTGGATGACCATCCGCATCGTGGTCTCCCTTTTCTGGCGGTACCAACCACGTGGTGCTCCATATGAAATGCTGCCAACCGCTCATATTCTCAACAACTTTAGGTGGTGGAGAAGAGTCCCCACAAATAACATCGCCATCGATGGAAAAATCGGTTAGGATGGCGATGTCCTTAAGTGTGATGGTGCACTCACCTTCAAGATAGTTGAAACAATGTGTCTCTTTCGCCATCTCTCCACCAATGTCGTGATGAGTTGGCGTTCGATCTTCATCCCATTAAAGTGCCTAATGGGATCCAATCTTGCCCTTCTTCGAAAGGGCAAGATGACGTCGTTCCATGCGAGCACATTGGTCGTACCCCTATAGCGGACAATATGGTATGCATCCTAGCGAAGAATTTATTTTTCACTATAAGTTTATGATTTATACATATATAAATTTATTATAACAAACAATATCAATTAACAAAATTAAATCAAGATTTTTTCCAAGAAATATACATCATTTAAAAAACAAACATATTAAGCGTACTAAAATAATTAACTAAAATGAATACTATTTTTAAAATTTAAATAAAATTAATTTTGTACACATACACATAAAATCAAATATATTATTTTGTACTTCGTATTGATTGTTTTCAATAATTTATAACAATACAAGTACACTCCTAAGACTTTTAGGAGAGGTATACATCTCCTTAGAAACACAACCTTTTTGACAGAAAAGGGGGGAATCCGAGGATCGCTTAGAACCCGATATTCCCAGGAAGTGGGAGGATCATGATGATCGCTTAAGATCCCATTTTCTTATGCATGCATTTCTTTATAAAGAGTCTAATTAAGTGACACATTGTATTTATTTAAATTATTCAAAATAATAAATATGATTAACAATTAACAAATTTATTTTACAAACCACTAAATCACGTTAACAAAATAAAAAATGACAAGTGATGATAAATAATATGTATCTTGTGGTCATTCCAAACATCACTTGAACGATGATTATCTTGGTCGTATAACACAGTCGGATCAATCGGTCTTTGATCAACATAATATTTTTTATTGTAGATATCAACATCCCCCAACCTACGATAGCATAACAACAACATAAATCAATTATTATATAGATTAAATAAAATCATTACAACAACAACACAATTTAAGTAAAATGAGTACGTATCGCTTGATAGTAATCTAGTTCGAAAAAATCGGCCATTTTTTCAGGAACCGGATAGAGATTCGACGTGTTTTGAATGAAAACCAAAGAAAAGTTTTTTTTATAGCAGATCAGACTTAGCTACAACCAACATACCACTATTTCCAAAGTTTTTCGATGGAGAGGGGGATGGGTGGCGTGATAAACTTAGAGAGAGAGAGAGAGAGAGAGAGAGAGAGAGAGAGGAGACTGGTTTTGGTGTGAAGAAAATGAGAGGAGGGGAGGGGGGTATTTATAGGGTAAGGACCGCCTGGGGGCAGTTTGGTATTTTCCCCCACCAGAAACCGCGCCCCCCGTGAACGGTTTCCCTTCCCGAAGCGTAAACCACGCCCTTGGGGAACGATTACAAGGATGAGACGCAGATCGCTCCCTGGCAGGCGGTTAGCTGTCGGATCGCCTCCCAATCGCACGGTTTCATGGACCGCCACACGAAGAAGCGATTTTCCAGCTGTCCTAGCAAGATCCGCATGTTCCCCGCCCGGTTTGAAGGAGAACCACCCATAGTTTTGTAATTTTTTTAAACGATGGTAGTTTGGGATTTTTTCCTCCAATGTTTGATCCAAATTCTCCTATGTTGTATTTTATCTTGAAAACCATAAAAACATACCAAGAAGGAATCAAAAAATACAAAAATACAACCTGGGTCTATTAAGTGCACATTATCAAATATAGTTTTAGATTAGGTATAAAATAAAAAAAGATGCATTGATAGAAGAGGAAAATGTATCAAATGTGAGAGTGGTAAACGCTAAAAACTAAGTATCATCATATGCATTTTGTGATAGTAGCCAACTTATGAAAAAGACACAAGTGTAGCCACACCTTTGAAATTGATTTGACAAATTTAGAGGTTAAAAACTCTAATACCGTCAATGACTCTACTAGTAACATTGACGTTACGCTGATTTGGATGTCACATGGACGACACGTCATCTCCAACTAGACACACCATGTTTTTTCTCCAAAAAAAATAAATAAACTAGATACACCATGCCCATTTGAATGCCACATCATTCTGTAAATTTTAAAAAGTTGCATCCTTGCCAAAAATTATTTTTCACAAAAGAAAAAAGACAAATGCCCTTTTTTTTTTGCATCGGCCACTCCTCTTCTTCTTTCTCTCTCTAGCACTGAGAAATTTTGTTTGTCGGCAACTCCAACACAGGGAGGCGAGCAGATCTACTCCAACTTTCCAGATCTCGGAGTAACAGGAGGCGGGCAGATCTACTCCAACAACAGTACCTTGATGTTTCCATATTTGGAGCATTTTTCCATCTCGGCAAGGCGGCAGATCTACTCCAAAAGTTTTTTTTTATAAAAAAATTGATATGTCATTAGGGATGGCAATGGGTCGGGTTGGAGCGGGTTTTGTCAAACCCAAATCCATGGGTTTTTCCGCCAAAAAAACCCCGGGAAAAACCCGTTGGGTTTGAAAAACTCAAACCCAACCCAACCCGCTGGGTATCCGCGGGTTCATGGGTACCCGTGGGTTTTTGTGGTAAAAATTTACAATAACAAGTTTCTTTCAAAATAAAAGTTTAACATCAATTTCTCATACAAATTAATCATACAAAAAACACCAATCTAGAGCATACAAACAAACCGCAAATGATCAATACAAATTGTTCAAAATTAAAGATAAACATATTTAAACAATAAGATTAATTGAAAGCTTCTTTCTCGTCAACTAAGTTTCTTCACTCTCCACTTCATAATATCAACTTCATTCTAAACAATTAGAAAGAACAAATTATATGTCTCCACAAACATAAAGAATATTATTTGTTTAAGGAAAATATATTATTTAGAATATTAAATATACCGAGAAAGTAATTATATGTGTGTGGGCGGGTACCCATGGGGCGGGTTTACCTAAACCCAAACCCAACCCGACCCGTGAATAGTGTAGCAGGTTTAAACCCGAACCCGGCCCAAAACCCGTCAACACGGGTTTTACCCGCGTTGACCGGGTTGGGTCGGGTGGGTACCCGTGGGTTCGGGTTTTGTTGCCATCCCTATATGTCATTAAGAATGGTATGGTCAGCAGTTTTGTTTGCCATGTCGTCAAAATCTTACGGAGTTAATGGAGTCTGATGACCAATGACTAATGGTGAAATGATTCTTGAAGTTAATGACAATAAGAAAGAAAAGTGATTCGAGTGATAAACGTGAAAGATTTATGTAATTTGCAATGTTCTCAAAAGCGAACCGGAGTATGACCCGATAATGTGAATGACTCGATCTTTAACGGTCTAACCGGCATTAAACCGTTAGAAAACCGGTACTTAATAAACAATTAGTATAAATAGTGAACACTTCTTAATCATGGTCAACCATGACTAAATTAGTAAATTGCACTTTTAACTCTTAACAATTCCAAAACATGCGAGTGGGGAGCGGTTACAGGGACTGGGGATGGCGACAGGAAGCGTCGGGACGGGAAGTGACGACGGAGTGTAGGAGTTGCTACGGGAAGTGGGGACAGGGACGTAGACTGGCGAGCTTGGAGCTGCTATGCTGACTGGGGATGGCGACGATGCCGACGGGAAGCCAAGACTGAAAGTGTTGAAGGTGGCAGGGTTTGGCGCTGCTCTTCTCCCTCTGTTCATGAAGAGTCGAAGACGAAAACTGGTTTCTTTCCCGACCCACGATTTTGCCATTCATTTTTAGTTTTCGATTATCTTTTTCAATTTTTTTTATTAAACAGAACGGCCGAAAGGGGAAAACCGAGCGACCAGTTCAAGCGGCTCGAGTGGTTAACCGCCTCGGCCGCTCGCCGACCGCTCTATAAAATCGTAGCGGCTAAATAACTGGCCCGAGCCGGTTTTGCTCTCGTGTGGCGGCTTTAATGGTCCGGCCGGCCGGCTCGGTTCGATCTTAATAACACTGGCAATTTGAGTAATGAAATGTGTAATTTAGCATTTTTCAATACGGCAAAATTATGGCTATCATCAGTTATTGCTGTCAGCTGTCGTGACTCGGGTGTATTACTGTATTTCACTATTTTGGCTGAATTACTGGAAGCCGTGTAAATTGAATGAGTTGACGACCGACCACAGACCGAGTCGCCCACCCGAAAACAAAAGGAAAAAACAAGTTCCGAAAGTCTAGCGGCCATGTAGACAGTACCCTATAATATAGTCGCCAAAAGTGTAATTTGCCCTCACGCGTTGTGATTTTTTCCCCCTTCTTCATTGTAACTGATTTATCAATATGTACTGAAACATCTCTTGTCATCTCTCTCTCTCGAGTCCAAAGTGAAAGCCTTTCACAGCCAAGACCAAGATAAAATATACACAGCGAAGTTCTTAACGAAGACTTTTCCTCAAAGCTATAAGGATCGCCGTCGTTCTACGGACCCCTTCTCTCATTTTCCCGATCGCCGTGATAAGGTAGCTTTCCCGTTTCTTTCCTTCTGTCTCCAGGCCCTACCTACGATTTTGGGTTCCTTCATAGTTGCTTTCGACGCGGAGAGTTTCCTTCTCGTTTGCCTGCCTGCGTTCGATTTTTAGGGTTGTTGGTGGTATGGAATGCTGGTTTTATTACGCTAGTTGAGCGCAGCCTGTTCATTCCAAATGCCTGGACTGGGTATTTTATGGTCATCACGGAAGTGAAGCGAGAAGAGTGGTGGCAAGAAAGGGGATTACTTGATTGATTGAGGGCTTGATCAGTTCTTTCAATGGGGGAAATTATGCGGATTACTTGATTGAATGAGGGCTTGATGAGTTTGTTCTTTCAGGATTTTCTCTGTTGTTTTCTCCACCTTGGAGTTTGTCTGATTGATACGAGGAATTGAAGAGGAACAACTTCATTGATTAGCTTCAATATCTTTCAGCCAACTTCACTTTCATTTTCCTTAGTTTCTCTACAGGAAAAAGTTGTATGCTGTTCATTTCTGCTTGAGAATTAACGATGTCTGAACTCAACTTGGAATGCGACTCTATATTCTTCCTTTCGACTTCTTATGGTACTTCAGCTCTGATTACTATTTTTTTTGGGTGCCGTTGGTTACTGGGCTTCCAGATCTTCTCAATTACTCGGATACTTTTGGACATCTTTAGGTCCAATAGGAGATACTAATTTATGTTTGCTAGTTAAATATATAGTATCTGTTAAGTAGGAAAAGCTTAGACGGTGCAATTTCCCAGTGAAAATCAATGAACAAGCAGTGATGATTGATACCACTGTGTAAAATGAACAGGAAATACCTAGCTTTTCGCACTGTTAACTGTTAAGTTCTCATCTTTATGTCTCATTCTTCTGTTGTAGTTTATCAGGACAGAAACTAATGAGTGATCATCTAGATTCTGGTGCTGACCGGAATATAGAGCCTGAGAATTCACTACCAACACAAGGTGCGGTGATACTTCCATCTTCTGGGAGTTCTTCTTCTCAGCCTGTTGATAAATCTTCTTGCTTAATTGATATGGAGCGAGTTAGAGAAGATGATGTTTGCGATGAAAAGGAGCCACTTCTTCAGACAGTGGAATGCCGAATTTGCCAAGAGGAAGATAGCCTGGTGAATTTGGAGGTTCCCTGTGCTTGTAGCGGTAGTCTAAAGGTATTTCTGCTTTCCATGTTGTTTTATGTCTCGGTATTTCATTTGTAATCTTATTTTAAGAATTATTGGATTTGAAACCTGGCCTGTCCATCCAAAGAATAAGGTTTGTTGTATGTGATTTGACCTGGTAATTCATAAATCATTCTTGATAAAAGAACAGAGTTGTTTTCTTTTTCACTTAGATATTAGATCGTCCAGAGCAAAGCTTACATGTTTTCCTTTTCCAGTATGCTCATAGGAAATGCGTCCAGCGATGGTGCAATGAAAAAGGCGACATCATTTGTGAGATATGTCGCAAGGTAAGGAATTTGAGTTTTACAAGGAGCACATTATTCATGCAGCTTGGGCGTGCAACAAGTTGTCATTAAATCATGGACTTTTACCTCATTGAGTTTATTGATTCCTTCCAAAGAAAAGGGGGTTATATTTGCTAACTGGATCATATCTGGGACACACTGTTTATATCGAATTCAATAGATTTTCTGTTCAGATTCTTGCTAACTGCCCTGTCGTGTCCTTGAAGTTCATTTTTGTGAATTTTGAACTTTCCTTTTGTTGCTTAGCCTATTTCAGTCGCCGATTCAAATGCATTATTTACCTTAACTGGATGCTGCTATGTTGATTCCGTCACTTTTCTCAAGAAGCTGCTATAGCATGAAAAAGTGGACCTCTGATTATTCTAGTTGTCTAAGTAATCCGAAACAGTTATCTCATTTATGTGGCATTAAATGGAGTAATATTTGTGTTGATTGAGTTCGTTTTGGTTAAGAGTTGGTGAATGTGTAATCCGTTGCAGGTTCAAACTGTCCATGAGTATCATTACTTTTGCCGAAGTAATGCAAGATGCATTTGGGAATGGAAATGATACAAATCATTCAGACTTCTAATCAGTTTTCCTTTTTTTTTACAGCCTTACCAGCCTGGATATACTGCCCCACCGCCACCTCCGCAGTCAGAAGACACTGCAATCGATATAGGGTAAGCTCTGCTCACAGAGATTTGTTCTTTCTTTGTAGAAATTGTCTGAATCTCTGAATCTAGGCTTTCAAGTGGCATCCTTGTCATGTCATTTTGGAGTCTGTACCATGTTTTTCTGTCATTGACTCAGAAGATGTCTCAATGATATGGCTCATAATCTCCTCTTATATGTTTGCTTTTTCTTCCTTTTCCTAATGAATTGTTACATTTCTATTTTTGCAGTGAAGGTTGGACTATTGCTGGCACTCCTTTGGATCTCCGTGATCCCCGAATTTTGGCAATGGCTGCTGCTGAACGCCATCTTCTAGAGGCCGAGTATGATGAGTATGCTGATAGCAGTGCAAATGGTGCTGCATTCTGTCGATCTGCTGCTCTAATTGTAAGTCATCATTGTCTTCAGGGCCATTCCATATTTCAGAAAGCTGGAATGTGGGATCTCTTAACTCGATTAAGTTGATTGTTAGCCGTTTTCTGTACTAATCATTACCTTGATTATCATGCTAACTGATATGTTATATTCTTAAACTGGCTTGCTTCCACTTAAATGATTTAATCCATCCCTTCTATGGGGTTCCTTGATGTAGGACCACATTGTATTGATGGTCAGGATGCAGATTGGGGACTTTAAGTCCATTTCTTGCTGTGTAGTTTATTTTCACATATCCTTTCTAAGGCTTGTACAGGGAAATTATTTACTGATGTTTGTTTGTCGGTGAAGGAACCTGTTCCGATGTTGGGTGAACCACGAAATCCAAGATCTGAATGTCCCTCTTCTCATTGCCTTGTTGTTTTGTCTTTCCTACCAGCTTATGGCTCTTCTACTATTGAGGCATGCTATGTCTCTAAGCAGTTCGGATGGTGACGATGACGATGATGCTTCAACCTTTTTCTCTGTGAGTATCAATCCTAGAGAAGTATTATGTCGAATTGATGTTGATAATATCCGGGCTTATGTTTGTGTCTTCATCCTCTTGAAAATGGAATTTTGCCAGCTTTTCTTGCTGAGAGCTGCTGGGTTTCTTCTCCCATGCTATATCATGGCTTGGGCCATCAGCATTCTACAACGAAGAAGGCAAAGACAGGTTAGTAGTGAAAGTCATTATTTTCCTCTCTCTCTCTCTCTCTCTCTCTCTCTCATACATTTCTGTGAAGATTTACACTTGGCAGCATAGTGAATCTCATATAAGTTTGTATTTCGCCTGAATCAGGAAGCGGAAGCACTTTCAGCATCAGAAGTTGCCTTCATGATACAGGCAGGCCAACACCCAGGCTTGCATTTCACAGTAGCTGCTGGTCCTGCATTTACAACTCCTGAAGAAGCAGCACCTTCTCCACCGCCGAGACATTCAGTTTAAGTGTCGAGTAAATTTATTTATGGTGGTGGTGGAAAACACGAGATTCTGTGATTGTCCATCCAAGTTGTACCATCTTTAAATTTGGACCTTTACTTGTGAGAAACCACCTACATGGCTCTCCTTGACATGTATTAATGTACATAGATGATCTGTGATTCATCTCTGGCCGCCGTTTGTTTGTGCTGCTTTGGGATCTACATAATAGCAGGGGCAGAGCTGTTGTTTCTTTAAATGGTACATGTTACACTAATATGTATCTCTAATCTTGCTGGTTTTGGTTCACAACTTGCTTGATTTCTAGGTTGATTATACAGTGAGCTGCAACCCTGCAGATCAGAATGTGACATAAGACCAACCTGGTAGTAGTCTTTGCATTAGGAAGTGTAGAAGTACCAACACCTTAACAGCTGTCTTGGCTATATCGTAGGAGCATGACAGAGACTGCAGGTGCACAACCTTTTCTCGACTATACATTGCCAACAAGATTCTAACATCAGTCTCTGTTCTGCAGGTCCATTTTTAAACTAGACAGTCAAAGATGTCAACTGCTCGCGTTTAATTTGGCACTTGGGTTTTACTCATTTCTAGCATTATAGCCGTGTTGTAGGGACAGGTTTTGAGAGAGATCTGGCTTGATTGTATTTTTACCATGCGTTCAGCGTTATTGATTCTTTACGAGTTTTAGTTTTCAGTTGGTGCTTTGAACTGAGTTTCAGTTTTCGGTTGGTGCTTCGAACTGAGCTTCAGTTTCGATTTGGTGCTTTCAACTTGGCATTATGTTTCTGTGTTCGTCATTAATCAAGTTCAACACAGATGCATGGTGTATGGGCGAGCAGGGGACTGGTCTGGACATGGTGGTGAGAGATTGGCAAGGATCGGTTCGTCTTGTAGTGGCAAAAAGAGAGGAAGAAATTTGGCTGTCAGAGGTTGTCGAAGGAAGAGCTGTACTAATGGCGGTGACAATAATAAAGGAACTCCAAATGGGACCATGTGATGTGGAGTTTGACTGCAATTCCCTCATGATAAAGCTTCAATAGCATGCAGATGATCTAAGCGAAAAGTGAATATCTGTAAGGAAATCCTGGAAGGTGCATAAGTGTGGGAATGTAGAGTTTGGAAGTTTGCTAGTCGTGAAGCCATTAAGGTAGACACAAGTTAGCCCATTTTCCTTTTGAAGCTCGTGATTGTAACACGTGGATAGAGCACTACCCGGAATAGGTTAGGATGATTATCATTTATCTTGCTACCTACATTTCCACTTTTCATTCTAGGTATCATAGTCAGTAAATACTCCGTTTAATACATATATATGTACTTGTACGTGTTTTATCCGTTTAAAACTTAAGTATCCGTATTATTGTCAAGCCGTTTCATTTCCCCCGTTCATTTGATGGCTCCCATAATAAACACGTATAAAACCTGTATAATATGTTTAATATCCGTATTTAATGAATTAAATGGTTAAATTTACTATTATTTATTTATTTATAAAAATAATTAATTTTATATATTTATGACTATTAACGTACTATTAAACATAATATTAGCTTAGAGACAACGTAAAATACTCATATGTACTTTATACGTAACTTTCCTGTACCGTATTTTCCTAACTATGCTAGGTATTTTTAAATTGACGGTTATGATTGATTGAGAATAATTATGAAAAAAAAATTAATATTCACGCTGGATTACTATCTTTAAAATATAAATTTTCATATATTTTCCTAACTCTAAATAATTAATTTAATCCTAATAATTTCCTTTCCTAGTCGCTAAGACTAACTCCAACCCTAGAGCTAAAAAGCCATTTACCCATTTTTAGCTCTTTTTTTGTGCTCCAACCCACATTATTTTGGGAGCTAAAAATGGGTATTGGTGAATTGGGAGCCAAATTTAGCTTCCAAAAAGGTGAAAAAACCAAATTTGGCTAGAGGAAATGGTGGACCCGCGGTGGTTCCTCTTTTATTTTTTTGTTTTTTTTGTTTTTCTGTGGGATTTTCTCATTGGTTGATTGTGTTGTTTTTTCTTTTTGCTTTTTTTGTGTGGTATTTTGTCATTGGTTGATTGTGTATGTTGTTTGTTTAATTGTTTGAAAGAAGATATGAAATGTTATATGTTTAATTGGTATTTTTTCATTGGTCCCGAAGTTAACGGTAACAAAATAATGACTAATTTTCCGAAACTTTTTTTTGTCTCGGAATAAAAAAAAATTACATCGAAAATTTTGTTTTCAAAAGTAATAACTAACTATAGAAAATTAAAGTGATATGAAAATTAGAGGTCAAATAAGTATGCTTGATTGTAATAAATTGAAAAAAGGTAGGTAGGAAGCTAAATTTAGCATTGTGTAGGGTTGGAGTGAAAATGGGGTTTGGGGAGCTAAAAAACCATATTTGGGTACTTGGGGAGCCAAATTTGACTTTACGGATTGAAGTTAGTCTAACTAGTCGCCCCCTTCACCTTCTACCTCCGTCTCTGTCACTCTTCCTCCCTCCTTCCCACCCCACACAACCACTGCCCTTCTCCCCTCCCTCCCTCCAAAAGTTAGAAAGTCTATAAAGCATAAAGCCTTCCTTTTAATTCCCCTTGGTTTCATTTCAGGACTCTTCCTGCTCTAGTGGTGGATTCGGGACAAGAGTGAATATTAATCGCCGCTTCGTCCCCCTTCCTAAGTTGGTGGAACCAATTGACTCATTTGAACTTCCTTCTGAAGCAGTGCGGCAGCGAGGAGATGACATCTCTTATACAGAGTCAGATCTGGTTTTTTCGTATTGGTATGTATTTTTATATTGGTATTGATTTTTTCATAGTTGTATTGATTTATTGCCATTAATAGTGATTATTATATAATGGTATTGTTTTTTCGGTAGTGAGTTATCATATTAGTATTGGTTAAATCTTGGTTAATGAGTGGTATATATTGTGGTAGTGGTAGTGTTTTGTGTAGGCTGCAATGGTAGTGTTTTTATATTTTGGTATTGATTTCTTATTTTTTTTATAATTGTATTGGTATTTTTTGAAATGGTCGTGGTTGTCTAATGGATTGGTATTGATTATTGTTTTATCTTTGCAGTGGCATTAGTTTGATTAAACGAAAAATAAAGAAAATATTGAGAAAAAGAAGAAAGAGAAATTTGGTTGTAGATTGCAAAAGTGAGAGAAAGAGAGAGAAAAAAATTTAATTATTATGTTTTTGTAACTTCTAAAATGTAATTTAATCAAAAAATAATTTAATAAATATTATTTCTCATACCCAATTTGCCCTTTGTAATCATAGTGAGTACTACTTCCTAGTAATCACTCTTACCGCTCCAAGCATTACTCCTCGAAAATCTCAGATGATATAACTCTTTATTTAAGCCATATGGCTTATTAATGTTGATGGGAACTTGCGGTTATATTATTAATCAGAAATTGTTGGTACATCGTCCAACCGAAGTTGATCAATCAATATCATAGGCGGTCTATCAACCCACACAACAGGTGAGTTCCAATGTGTTTCACACTCAGTCATAAGATGAGCAGCCGAATTTGCTGTTCTTTTAACATGTTGTATTGATCGATTGTGCCCTGCAGCAAGCTTTTGTCGGATACTGGTGCATATTCTCCCAATCTCCATTAGAGATGAGCCCTCCTCTTGGATCTTCTGTACCACTCAGAGACAATCAGTCTCAATAACTGGCTCCTGAATCTGTAGTCGTTTCACCACGTTGATCCCGAACTCAACTGCGCATGCCTCCGCCAATTCAGGATCCCATGAGCCAGGTATTTTCTGGGCAGCTGCAAAAATGAATCTCCCATAACAATCACGACCCACTACTCCAAGACAAGCTCCACCAGACCCGCGTCTGTCATGCCTTGTCGAGGTCAAAATCACACCTCAGCAGCTGGGGCAGGACAGGGCTGTGTAGGCGTTCCCTGGTGCTCTTTGTAGTCATGAAGAAAGGCTTCCGCACGCTGAGCAATTTGATCTTCTAGCACTTTTGACCCATTATGCATTTGGGCATTCCTTTCCTTCCAGAAAAACCATAGCAAGACTAACCATCTTTCAATGTATTCCTTCGGTGCTAATTCAAGCACCCTCTTAACCCACTCCGCACAATCCTCTGAACTGCGGCATAAGAAATACTTCGCCAAGTTCGTCGGGCGCCAAATTCTGGTCGTCCACCCACATTCACCAAACAGATGAGATTGCGTCTTCGGCAGGTCACTGAACGGGCAGCGATCATTCATGTTCTCATCTCGGCGGCAATAATTCGCTCCTGTGGGCAATGGGATCGGGATAATGTGTTGGGCTATCTCCTCAGGTAAACAAGCCTGTACTTTCTCCATGTCCCAAGTCTCCGTTTCTGTGGCAATAAGATCCCGAACTTTAGCATCCACCGACAAATGGGTTGGTGCTAACGGAACGAAGAACCTCGGGGTAGTTGGGATCCATTTACCACCCCAAATGCGCACCGAGTCTCCATTCCCAATGACCCATCTCAGTCCAGCCGACAAGAATTCTTGCGCACTCAACAGCGACCGCCAAGCAAAACTCGGTCTTAGCCTGCTTCCACCTCTAGGATCGTAGTTGACGGATGGTACCGAGCTCTCAGCATCCGCGCTATGAGAGATTGGGGCCGGTTATGGGTGCTCCAGAGACGACTCCCTAGGAGGGTCGTATTGAAACCTTGTAACTCCCTAAAACCCAGGCCACCTTCTTCTTTTGGACAAAACAGCTCCTCCCATCTCACCCACGACAATCTATACTTCTCTCCCTTAGCACCCCACCAAAAATTGTGTATCATTCTCTCAACCACTGACGTTACGCTTTCAAGGATTCTGAAAATCCCCATAGCATAAGTTAACTGCGCCAGCGCAACAGATTTTATCAGGACTGCCCGTGCCGCAACTGAAAGGGTTCGCTCCTTCCAGCCCTTCAATTTCTTTCGAATTCGATCTGTTAACCCATTAAAGGCTTCCTACAAAATATCCAAGAGCACTGCTCTTTCCTACAAAAAAGTAAATCTTGAGGAGTGAGAGTCCTAGCAACTATGTCATCCTCCAAACATAGAGTTGTTAACTCAACAAAAATGCATTGGGCAAAGATGCAAGGGGATGATATGAAGCCACCACAGAGCCCTCTCCTGCCAAATTAGAGCACCACTTGTAGAGATGCCCTAGAAGGGAAGGCTACCCGAACCAGATCACCTTGACACCTTGAAGGAAGTTCTTCCTTCCTACCAAAGGCGTCCTCGATAATGCACCCAGTACCTAGAGACTCCAACCAATCAATATGTATTTGGTATTCGATCTGTTCAGCAAGAATGACACTAGGGTTAGGTGGCCAATGAACACAAATATATTCCCCCACTGGCAAAGTGTGAATATACGAAGACTCATACAGACTTTTCCCGTCCCATGCAAGATCACCTCAAAAAGTAATCCACAAATGAGAGCACGGATCTTCATAAATTTCTTCCACTATGGTGATCACATGTTGTGTGAACGTGCTTACAACAAAATTACCACCATACCCTTTCACTTATCGCTATTTGTTCAGAGACCAATCCAACAAAATTATCACTGTACCCTTTCACTTATCGCTATTTGTTCGAACCCGATTCAATGACGCTAAAGCACATGTCACTGTGAACACAATCTCTCATATGAATCCACCAGAACGGAGTTCGAGTTCCCACAGCCACAACCACCCCATGATTGCCTTCATCTTTCTACGTTTCTCTGTAGAATAAGAAAAAATAAAAGAGCGATAGAAGTAGTATGCTCTTGAGCTTTTGACTTTTCTGTCTCAATACATGGCTTACCCGCATCAGTAGAGGGCTTACCCACATCAGTGGTGGTTTCACACATTCAATACTTAATTCATTTACCCACTCGGGAGATTGTTATTACTTATTACTCAACACATCAATACTTAATTCATTTACCCACTCGGGGGATTGTTATTACTTATCACTCAATATGGATTACCTGTTTCCCATAACTACCTAGGATTGTTCGGCTTGCGAAAATGTCATTCGAAACTCGACTCGTTTACTAACTAGCCAAGTTTGAGTTGAGTCTTGTTCGGCTCGTGAAGCTAGCTTGACTCATTGGCTGGTTGAGTTTAACTCGTGAGCTGGCTCGTTTAGAGCTCATGAGATGTCTCAACATAGTGGCTAGGGTGCCAACTCGTTTACCAACCTATGAGCGAATTAATCTATATCTTATGAGTTGGACTTTGATAATTCATATGATAATTAAATTATATATCTCATCATATATGAAGTCTAACACGTTGAGTATGTGAACAATATGTCTTATTTTTAATTTTAAAAAGAAATTATGTATCGTATATTACTTCGATTCTATGAAATAACATGATTTGTAATAGTTAAAATTTATTAACTAAATAATACCATGAGAGTATAAAATTGGATTGTTTAGTGTTGAACATTTGACTATTACTATGTATATCATACATGACATACAAAATGAATATATCAAATATGATAAGATTTTAGTAAACATTTCTAACTCGAACTCGACTTGTTAATAAACGAGCTCGACTCGAGCTCGACTCATTTATTAACGAGCCGAGCTCAAAGTGAGGCAAAACTCGATTCGTTTACAACCCTACGGCTAGGTATACGCTCTGGACTAACAAATGTATTGCAAATGTTCTCTAAGCTTCACGAAGAAATAAAACTTTCTTGCCCCACTCCCACCAAACGTAAACGCTCAATGAAGAATAGCCAAAAGGAAGTCTGAGATGCCGTAAAGACTGGAGTGGCTAGTTTCTTAGAGCTAACTAACTTCCGCATGAGCTATTGAAAGATGCAGAGGTTTCCTTCTCTACTTGGAGAATTCTCGGCTGCGCTTAGCAGCAGCAACAACAGCATTCATAAGCAAACCCCTGAATCCGTCCTTCTCCAGCTCGTGTATCCCCGCAATGGTTGTTCCTCCTGGTGACGCCACTTCGTCCTTCAGCTGCCCTGGATGCTTCCCACTTTGACACACCATACTTGCTGCCCCCAACACCTATACATAATGCATGTTACATTATATGACAAATGATTGTATCAAAATAAAAATCCAACTCCCATACAAGAAATGAACTAAGTTTAGTTAAATCAAACTTGTAAAAACGATGTAATATTCTATATATCTGACTCACAGTTTGAGATGCTAGACCGAGTGCGAGCTCTCGTGGCAGGCCAGCAGCAACCCCTCCATCAGCCAAAGCTTCTATTGCTATATATATGTATGCCGGCCCACTACCACTGATCACATCATAGTGAAAAGAAAACGGGATCAACAGGATGGAAAGTAACAACATTCAAAAATGGAGTTTTGAGTTTCTACAGCTACATAGATTAATTGATACGCTCTTCAGGAAGCAAGTTAATATGACTTTATGCTAAGAAAAATCAGCCAATCTGGTCTTTCCTTTAGATAGACAAGGATTATATACCTCAGCCCAGTAATTGCATCAAATAGCTTCTCATCAGCTTTCCATATCTTGCCAACAGATCCAAATAACTTTGATATCAGTTCCCCATCTGCCTCGGTCGCAGCTCCACCCAAACTCATCACTAGACCAAATACAAGTACATTTAAATAATATTGCTTAGATGTCATATTGCAGTCCCAAAACCCAAACTGCATGTTCTATTGCAAGAAACAATATTGCCAAGAGCAAAAGAGGAGCACCATCGCAATTTATGGCCACAGAGGCCAACAAAGCCAATCACACAGGTCAACCTAAGTTTTCCACAGACGTAGCAATATTGAAAAGATTCAATTCAAAGTTTCTTTCTTACACTGAATTGAAGTCAGTTGAAACAACAATCATTGTTGACTACATGATATGACAGCTATATCATAAAACCTTGTCCCTCTTTTCCTCAAGGAGGGAAGTATTGTGAAGTCTGATGATGAACTCGCATGCACAAAGGATAAATATAGTAGTGTAATAATTGAGCAAGTAGGCAACAAAGCAGCATTAGGATCATAGCCTTAAGTTCCCAGAAATTGAAATCTAACTTGTACACAAGACCAGGAATAAGCAGCCAAAACACCAACCAAAATAAACCGCATGAAGGTCTGTAACTCCTAGCGAAGTAGTCACCACCAGAACAATAGTACATGCAGATTACGATTACAAAAGTATTTTAACCCAAATAACATAGCATGGCATAAAAAGCTCATACAGAATCATAATGTAGCCTAACATGGAAAACAATACCTGTTGCTGCCTCTCCCACTGCAGCAGGAGTGTTAGGCATCACCCTAATAAATCTTTCACTACCTGCCCATGTCTAAAGTAAGGAAAGAGATGTTTCAGTCCAATAGTTGAGGGCATACAAATTCAATACATCATAGTTGAAAATACAAAGATCATTAGCATGTATTTTGAACCGAAGTAGATTGAGCTGAACTCCAACTTCATTTCTCAAGGTTTTCGATGATGTTACAATTAGGTTGAACCATGAAACTTAGCAAGAAAAATAAACAAAATGATTGCATTTTCTTGTGGAAAGAGATGAGTCTCATAGACTAACAAACTTAACAATGAGAGAATCGAAATACAAATAACAGGATTGCATCTATTGTTATTTTAAGTTTAATATTCTACTAATACAACCCAACATTAAAAAAGAAATGCAATTTCATGAGAAGAACACCGTTCAAAAATCCCAGAGTATGACATAAGGCAAACAGCAAATGACAACCTTTTGCAAAATAATTTTTTAACTTTGGTATGGCTCTCAGCGACCAGTGAACTTCACAAATGTCTTTCTTACTATTGTTTCATGGAGGAAAAGCATTATAAATATAAAGACACAGAGATCTCTTAGAAAAGACGCCCCAAAGCCAAACCTGCAAATCTTTTAGTTTGACACCAGCAGCAACTGAGACCAAAAGCTTTTTCTTCGATAGCAGGGGTTGCAACTGCAACACCACGTCCTTAACTGCAACAAGATCAACAAAATCGTATTGACAACCAAGGATATAACTCCAGAAACAGAACAGGAAAAAAGTCATCCATAAAATACCAGCAGCAGAATTACATATCTTGAGATCCCTAGTGAAATATGATGAAAGGAAAAGACATACAGAAACAACTCATAGCTATGTCTGAGAGACCACAGTCTAGTTGTGGACACAAGGTGCAGCCCAGGAGTTGTGTTCTTACAATCCCTTCACAGCCCCTCATCTTTCCTTCCATTGAACTGGGAAAGGATAAAAGGTTTTTCATTACATGTTTTAAGCATAACTTTACTTGAACTTCAGCTATACTTGAGAAGAAAATCAAGTGGGCAGCACACGTTTCAACCTTCAATCTAAAAGCAGGACAAGCTAGAAACTATTTGATTTCCACCGGTTAACTGATAAAATGTGCTACAAACTTCCCAAAACTATTCCAGGAAATGCGGTTTTTCTTGTTTGAGGGTTTAGAGGGAACGCCAGAATTACTTGCCAGAAAGTTAAAATCTCGTTGGACAAGTTCATTCATGTAGGTGTGACAATGTAATTATCAATGAGTCATTTGGTGTTGTTACATTCTGTAAAGCAAGATAATGCTGAAGCGATTCCATGCATTAAAAAGAAAAAAAAGTAAGGAAAGGAATTCTGTACCAACTTGAGGCTTTACAGAAAAAATCACCACATCACTATCTTCAACCACCTGTTTTCATAAAATCATAATAATCAGTTACATATATGCACAAGAAGGAAGTAATGACTAGGCGTAAAAGTCACCATCACCGCCAGCATCACCAAAAATGAAGCTAACTGATGCAATATAAATTGTCTAAACACTTGCTGCTTACTGGAACTTGTACTTCCCTGTACATATAGAGAATGATAAATGAAAAGTTGAGTCCACAAGAAAAGAGAAGCAATTACTTGTTCGTTCTGAGGGAAAACTTTAACGCCAAACGACTCAAAGGCAGAGCGGCGAACAGGATTTGAGTGGGCAGTAGAAATGCGGGAAGGGTGGAGGACACCTGACTGCACTATTCCTCTAGCGAT